CATGTTTGTGTCTCCATGTTTGTGTTTCCATGTTTGTGTCTCCATGTTTGTGTCTCCATGTTTGTGTCTCCATGTTTGTGTCTCGCTCCCTCGTCCCTTTGTGTCTTAGTCGTGTCTCTGTGTTTCCCCTGTTCCTCTCCTTGTGTCTCATCGTTGACTTCCTGTTTGTCCATCTGTTGATGTGTCCAGCCTGTGTGTCTTAAGTCTGCCTCTCAGTGTTTCCTGTTTTATTTTGACAGTCTTGCGTCCCACGTTCAGCGCTGTGGTTTTCGCCTTCCCGTCTCATTTAGTCGAATTTGTTCCAGCTGTTTTTCCGTGTGTTTCTTCCTCCTGTGTGTACACATTGTGTCATTTTCTGCAAATCTCCAGCGGTCCCTCCTTTTGATTCCAGGTTTCCTCGATAAATTCCAGTGATTATTTCTGTTTTAGTTTCCCCAGTCTAGGTTGTTCTTTGTTTATTTTGCTTTTAGCCATAATAAACCTCTTGCTTTTGGTTAAACCCAGCCTCCTCTGTCTGCTTCACTGATAAAACGTTTCCCTGTTTTTAGCGAGCATCAGATCACCTGTGCTCAGGTAACACACATGAGCCCTTTACCTGTGGACCGATACAAACGCTCCATCAGTGAAGCTGCTCTGTTCATTCAGCATCTGTTCCCTTCAGCTGAGAATCATGTGACCCAGCAGCTGTAGCACCTGTCTTTTTCCAGGTGTTCTCATGTGGGCGTGGCCTGTCATGTGACACTTTCATTATGATGTATGTAACATGTTACCATAGAAACTCATACTGATATTTAGGAGCCCTCACAGAGGATGATATTTCTTATAACTGCAGCTGTTCATAGACAAACTCGTCCTCTGAACATCGTTACGGCTCGTAGGAGGACACCTGCTCACTCTCCGATAACCTCCTATTATCAAAGAGGACAACATTCAAACAAAGTACAAAGGCTGGGTAGCAAAGGAGAGGGGGCGGGGCTAAAGAGGAGGCCACACACCTCAGGTGTTCTGTGTCCAAGACGTGATCAAAATTAGTCTCACTGTCTTGTTTTATCAAGTCTAGTTTCAGGTTACGTGACTCCGCCCACAGGTACGGGCCTCACCCAACAGTTGCACCTGTGGAATTGTTCCAGAGTGACCTCTGACCCCTGCTGTTTGCCCTCTCTCTTTTCACAGGTAGCCCACACCTGAGGTGAGGTGTGACTGTTGGTTACCATGGTGCCCAGGCCATCGTCAGGGGAGCTATGGGGGCTCCACCTGATGCCCCCCCGGATCCTGGTGGACTGCTGCCTGCCTAACGGTACACCCACGGGCGGATGTAAGCTCGGGTGTAGCTCTGTGACGTCATGATGTCGGACAACAGATGACATCATGACGTCACAGAGCTTCACTCACAGGCTTACCTTCGTCCTCTTTCAGCTCACCTGTAATATTTGTGTTTCCATGGCGTTTCCATGGCGTTTTCATGCTGTTTCCATGGCGTTTCCATGACATTCCTCAGGTATGATGGTTAGCCTGGAGTGTCTGAGGGAAACTCCTCTCATCAGCATCAAGCAGCAGCTCTTCTCCGAGGCCAGGAAGTACCCCCTGTACCACCTGCTGCAGGTATACGCTCTTAACTTTGACCCCGCCCC